TCGGGCGGGTGTTCTGGGGCGCCCGGAACGAATTGGCGGAGGTCCGCAATGGATCTGTCGAAGCGCGCCCCACCGATCGTTGATGCAATCGGACGGCCTCGGCTTGCGCGGTTGCGCCAGGCCCCCACGGGCCCCCCTAAGGCCGCGCACCAAAGGGCACTCTTGCCTAGGGTCACTCTTACGTGTCGCCGATGTCTGGGCCTGGACCATCTTGCGAAACATAAACTCGCGAAACCGAAACATGCACGGGGAACGGACGTCTGAGCGATGGCGAGCGCAGTCAGACTCACTCGAGCGACGGAAGCTAGAGGGGTCGTCTGCGCGGGCATTCGCGCGTAAGCTTCCCGCGTGAGGACGCACGTGCGCGCCCTGAGCTCCACGCGGTGTGCCACGCTGGCGGCCCGCGTAAACCGCGGCGTAAAGTCGCTATGTCCTCTTGCGTACGACCTTCTTGGTTGTCCCATCTCATATCACCTCTGCTTTTCCACCTCCCGCTCCAAGGGGCGACCCCTGGTCTCAAGGGGTTCCGCCTTTGGCCATCCACCACACTTCCATCCCTTCCTCCCGGCCGATGCCTTGCCTCGTTCCATCCCATCCCTTCTTTCTCCCCTCCCCCTACCTACCCACCCCTCCACCCTTCGTCATCCCTACACCTCTCCCATCCCCCCACCATCCCTCTCCCTCCATCGATCCCTCCGACCCCTTCCTCTCTCGCACCATCCACGTACATTTCCGTCCCTCCATGATCGCACTCCGCCGGCAGTTTCGCAGGTCGTGCACACGCTTTGCACGGAGAGGGCCTGCTCGATTCCGCGCACGAGCAGTACGGTTATGATACCGATTGTCCCTGCTGCCACGCGTCCATCGGCCAGTCCTTCATCCCCCATCCCTTTTTTGGCCACGGGAGGCCTCAATGGATCCCTGTAAGGTACATTCTTAAAGCAACAAGTCAGTATTCGACCCCCCTCCCCCGCGCTGCTGGACTCTTCGCAGGGCCGCCCACCCGACCTCTGCCCGCCGCGGCGTTGGAGTGGCCAGGGAAAGGTAGAGTGGAGACCTATGCCAAGAAAACACCTTGCTTTGCCTCCAGGGTGTCCTGGGTCTCTCGGGTTTCGATGGTTCTGCTGTCGACAGCGTGACGCTCCCACACCAGAATATAATGAACGTCCTGGGGTCTCAGGGTTGGGTTTCTTGTGGAAGGTGTTTTGTTGACTGGCCTCCACTGTATCGTTTTGCCGGGCGGTTGGGAAGGGCAGATGCGCCCATACCGTTCTTCTCGGAGGGCGCGAGTCTACGCCTACACCTCGATGAAGAACAACATGGCGTACACGAACTTTTGGCGCTCAGCGCGGATTTCTTGGATCCGCGCTGGGGTCCCCCCAGCGGCGCCTCCAGCGCCGCCCCTGGTGCGCTCCGCGCGCCAGGGAGAGGGGCCCAGCGCAGGTCAAAGAACTCCGCGCGGAGCGCCACCGTTTTTTCTTCTCCTGGTATCGTTCTGTCGGGCGGTTGGGATGGGCAGGAGGAGAAGAAGGAGGAGGAGGAGGAGGAGGGAAGGGAGGAGGAGGAGGAGGAAGGAGGAGAGGAGGAGGAGAGGAGGAGGAGGGAGGAGGAGAAGGAGGAGGGATGAGGAGGGAGGAGGAGGAGGAGGGGGAGGGGGAGGGGGGGGGAGGGGAGGAGGACAAGGAAGAAGAAGAAGAGAAAAAGAGGAATCGGAGGAAGGAGGAGGAGAGGAGGAGGAGGGAGAAGAGGAGAAGGAGGAGGAGGAGGAGGAGGAGGAGGGAGGGAGGAGGAGGAGGAGAGGGGAGGAGGAAGAGGAGGAGGAGGAGGAGGAGGAGGAGGAGGAGGAGGAGGAGGGGTCGGCTCTGGACCCCCGCCCCACGGGGCGCGGGGCAAGGCGCGCCTTGGCGTCGTTTTCTCGGCGCCCTCTGCTTAACCAAAATCGAAGCATACGTCTTCGGAGGTCCGCACGGAGTTCTTCGGGCGGCGCTGGACCCCCTCCCTCGCGCGCGAAGCACGCCAGGTCGCGCGCGAGGTCGCGCGCGCGCGCGAAGCACGCCAGGGGCGTTTTTCGGAGGTTGCGCGCGAAGCACGCCAGGGGCGGCGCCTCCGGCGCCGCTGGGAGGGCCCCTGCGCCGTCCCGAGGCGTCCGCACGGCATTCTGGAAGGCTATGCTTATGATGCCGGCCCTTTCGAAGAAGGAACACGCCATAAGCACAAACTTTGTTGGCGCTCCGCGCGGATTTCTTGGATCCGCGCTGGGCCCCCCCGCGCCAGAAGTTGATGCTTGTGCTGCTCTTTCCTCTTCTGCCTTTGCTCCTCGGGTTTTTCGCGCAGTTCGGGCACGTCCGAGCCCAGACACGCCCGGATATCCAGAGGCCACGGCCCCAGCCGCCTCGCCTGAGGACGCGTGCGATGTGCTGCGTGCGTTGGCGGGGAGACACGTTCGCGCGGCAGAAGGTACCTGCTGGGTGTACGAGTTTCAGAGGAGGAAAAGGTACCCATACCTCTACCCTTCGCCCGTTTTCCCCCTATTGGGCCTCCTCGGAGGCCCTCGTTGCCACCGCTGGGTTCGCCTCGAGATCCTGGTCAGAACGCACCCCGGGAGAGGTCCGGGGAGTAGCGGTATCGGTACCGTTTTGTTTCCCCAGAGTTGGAGAGGAAGGTCCGAGCAGACGGCACGAAGTTCGGAAACAGCCGAGCCACCAGTGGACCGTAAAGGACACCCGTGTCTAGCGATCACGCCGCGAAGGACCAGGCCCAGGTCGCATCCGTGGTCGTATCGTGCCCACTGGCTGCTTTGACTTTTTCGATGCGTGGGCCCCGAAGGTCTGGACCACTTCCCCAGGGCCCGTTTTTCGCCCCAAAGTCATTTTTGGACGGTCCCAAGGCCCGGCGAGGGCCCCGGGAGGCCGAAATCAGCCCCAAACCGCCGGCCCCAAGTTTGTTGGATCGTCAGATCTCTGGGTGTCGTACTTTTGCTTCTCCAGCTTTCCTACGGATGCGATTCTAAAGAGGTTCCTAAATATTCCTACGGGTTTCTAGTGGCTCCTAGGGATCCCAGGGGATTCCGAATTATGGATTCCCAGGGATTCCTTTGGATTCCAAGGGATCCCCCCCAGGATTCCGAGGCATTCATACGGATTCCTATGTCTTCTCCAGGGGTTCCTATATGTATTCGTGGGGGATGCATGGGAGATCCCGAAGGACCCCGAAGGATTCCTAACGGTTCCCTGCGCAGCCGCAGCCCGCCGCTACGCCAAAGCGCAGGCCGGCTACAGCGCCAACGGCCAGATCGGCTGCACGCAGCCGCGGCGCGTGGCCGCCGTGTCGGTGGCGAAGCGCGTGTCGGAGGACGGACGCGCCCCGTCGCCGTCGTCGTGTCGGCCTTGTCGCCCCACTGGATGCCCAGACATCGGGCGCGTCTCGAAAACAAAAAGCATCGAGACGGAGCTGCTTCGTCGTGGTCGGCCTGTCGGGGCTCTCGCTGGGCCTCGGGACCGTCCGAGAAACGACTCGGGACGAAGTGCTGGTCCTGCGGGACGGGAAAATGACCACAGCCACTGCTTCTTGTTTGCGCCGCCTTCCAGCCGGCCAAAAAAGAAGCGGTGGCTGTGGTCATCTCCCTGGTGCCAAGCTCAACGAAAATGTCCACAACCACTGCTTTGTTTCTGCGGGCTGGAAGGCGGCAACAATAGAAAAGCAGCGGCTGTGGTCGTTTTCACGCCCCGTAGGTCCCGGGGGAAGCGGTCGGGAGGTCGGGGGCCCACGTCCCGAGCAAGGCGAGCCGTCGGATGCCTGGGTCTGGAGAGTCGGGGCCTTCGCCCCTCGGGATAGTCGGCCTTCGCCCCTCTCGGTTAGGGTTACGCATCTGTTCCGTTCCGAAGAAGAAGAAGAAAAAGAAGAGTAAGAGAAACAATACAAAGAATGAGAAGAGGAACAATCATAACAATAATAACTGTTTTATGATGTTTGATATTGTGCTTTACAGCGCCATACACATGAACTTTTGGCGCTCCGCGCGAATTTCTTGGATCCGCGCTGCCGCCCACCCGGCGGCGCCGCCCCCGGCGCGCTCCGCGCGCCAGGGAGGGGGGTCCAGCGCGGATCCGACAAATTTGCGCGGATCGCCACAAGTTTATGTTTATAGCGCGTTTCTTCTTCGATTCGCCCCTCTGGATTAGGGTTGCGCAGCGATCCCTTTTCGCTTGGCTCGTGATGCGAGCGGTATCCACAACACTCTGATATTTTCGTAGATGCTGTGCGGTGTTCCAGCCTCCAGTTGCTTCCCAGTAGCTGGGCCTCGCCGGGAGCATTCCAAGGGGGGCCAGGATGGTCCCGAACGACCGCCTGGATTCCCGAGCTATGACCCGAAAACACTCGCCGTCGTCGGGGCCGACGCCTAGAACTCCCACGATGTGTCTTGCTCGAACCCAGCGGCACTCTCCTCTCGTCATCATCATAATCACCGGGGGGCCGACCACTAAAAAGCGGAAACCAGCGCAAGCATGTGATGCTCCAGAGGTCGCATGGGTTTCTTGGATCGGCGCTTGGGCCCCCCTGGCGGCACTTCTGGCGCCGCCACCAGCGCGCTCCGCGCTCCAGGGAGGGGGTCCCCAGACCCCCGATATCAGTATTTTTGTAATGACGTCGCCAGCTGTCTGGATCCCTTCCCCAGGACCGGTTTCTCATCCTGAGTCGATTTTTGATAGTCCCGAGGCTGGGCAGGGCCCCCCGGAGGCCGAGAATAGCAAGAACAAAAACCGCCCGTCGTGATTTTTCATGACTCGAGGGGTCTGGGTCCAGCGCCGATGAAAGACCTCTGCGCGAACCTCCGGAATCCCAGCGGCGTTCCCTGTCATTGCGAGCTCGAGGCCCGTGGCGGGCCCCAGGGCCTTCAAAAACAAAAAATGGTCCGGGGCGGAAGCAGTGCCCCCATGGAGGGGGTCCTTGGCTTTGGGTCTGCGGATTGAAAGCACTAGGTCGTCGGATGTCTGGGAACGTGTCTTTTGTCACTGCCCACCAAACCACCCCGACCCAACCCGAAGGCCCCCCTCTGCAGCCCCCTTCCCAGTTGGGGGGGCTTCGGGGAACATGAGAACAAAAACCACAGGCGGGACCCCCCCCCCCGCACACAACCCGAAAACCCTCGGGTTGGGCCGGGGGGGCCTCCTCCTCCTCCTCCTCCTCCTCCTCCTTCCTCCTCCTCCTCTTCCTCCCTCCTCCTGCTACCCCTCCTTCTACCCTCCCCCCTCCCATCCTTCTCCTCCCCCTCCCCACCTCCTCCTCCCCCTCCTCCCCCCATCCCCCTCCCCTCCCCCTCCTCCTCCTCCTCCCCCTTCCCTCCCCCTTCCCCCCCCCTCCTCCTCCTCCTCCTCCTCCCCTCGTGGAGGCGCCGCGCCGGCGGCGCGAGGCGGGGAGGCGCAGAGTCAGCCCGTGCTGCAGTCGGTTCCCTCGGGCCCCCTTCTGCTCTCCGCCGCGGCGCCCCTCGGAGAGACATCGGCGCCACCCCGACATGCTCATATCGGAGTGAGAGGAATAATACGAGTCAGAAGGATAGGATCAGCAAGAACAGCAATACTCAAACAAGAACAATTCACATCGGAGTGAGAGGAATACTACGAATCAGAAGGAGAGGGGCAGTAAGAACAACAATACTCGAGCAAGAACAACTCATATCGGAGTGAGAGGAACACTACGAATAAGAAGGAGAGGGGCAGTAAGAACAGCAATGCTCGAGCAGGAACAACTCATATCGGAGTGGGAGGAATACTGCGAATGAGACTGAGAGGGGCAATAAGAACAACGATACTCGAGCAGGAACAACTCATATCGGAGTGAGAGGAATACTACGAATAAGAAGGAGAGGGGCAATGAGAACAACAATACTCGACAAGAACAACTCACATCGGAGTAAGAGGAACCATACGAATAAGAAGGAGAGGAACAATAAGAACAGCAATGATGGCTTCTTTTTTAGTATAGATGCGCCATGCACATAAACTTTTGGCGCTCCGCGCGGATTTCTTGGATCCGCGCCTGAGGCACCCCCAGCGGCGCCTCCGGCGCCGCCCCTGGCGCGCTCCGCGCGCCGGGGAGGGGGCCAGCGCGGATCCAAGAAATCCGCGTGGAGCGCCAAAATTGTATGTTTATGTGGTTTTTCTTTTTCTACTATACTATATGTGCGTCGCCCCCTCAGGGGCGACGCGCGCACCGAGACATCTCATAGTGTATGCGTCGCGGCGGGCGCTTTCTGACCACACCGCTCGGGAGACGATGTACTACGAGATGGGTCTACTACATGTTCGGGTCGGACGCGCGCCTCCAAGGCGGACCTCTAGTACTAGTATGTCTCTGTGCGTCCCAAGATAGATCGACGATGAACATCCTCAGACCTTCTCGAGCCATGAAGCAATCACGACGGGAGGTTGTTCGTCGAGGACCATCGAGGGGCATCCCAACACATGATCGCGTCAGGAACAAAAATCAGGACGGGCTGTTTTTGGCTACTTTCGGCCTCAGGGAGCCCTCGCGGGTCCCGCCTCTGGGCCCAGACCGGCCCAAGGGAAAGGGTCGGGACGTCCCGGGATGCCGTCCTGAAAAGATAAGGAAGTCGAGCGTCTGGGATATCCGTTGATTGTCTGCAAGGTTCTTGTGTTATGACTCCTGCGCTCGCCAGTCGATGAAATGAGGTATCCCTGGATTCCCAGATCCCAATCTCTGCCTGCTTCAACAATCGATGTGCTGTTGTTCTGCTCCGTTGTTCTCCCGGAGGGCCTGCACCCAATCTAGTTTGGGCGTTGCGTAATAGGGGGGTCATAAATGGGGGGGTGGCGAGGGTGGTCCGAAAAGGTACCCAAACGGTGCCTAAACGAGCCCCCTGGGGCTCCGGAGGGGCCCGAAAGGGGCACGAAAGGGGACCGTTTCTGACCCCCCTATTTGTGACCCCCCCATGAAGCCACGCCCAATCTAGTCATCCGCCTCCCTACCTCGTGTTCCCACCTGCTCCTCCTCTGATCGGCGAGTGCGCTGCTGCCTCGCGCGTGAGGGCTCCCGAGAGCACCACTGGGGCGCGCGAGAATCAGCGCGGCCAGCGCGCGCGAGAGAACCCTCGGGGAGGGGCGGTGGCGGCCGCGGCGTGGCCTGCGAGGCCACGCGCGCAGCGGCCCGCGCAGGGCGCGCCCCGGCGCACGCTGCGACCCCCTTTCTCCGACGCTGCGCGCGCGCGCCTCGGCAAGAGGCAGGGCACCATGCCAGGGAGCCGACGCTCCAGAGAACGGTTGGAGCGGGCGGTTTTGGGCTGATGTCGGGCATGCCAGGGAGCCGACGCTCCAGAGAACGGTCGGAGCGGGCGGTCTGGGGCTGATGTCGGGCATGCCAGGGATCCGACGCTCCCGAGGACGGTCGGAGCGGGCGGTTTGGGGCTGATGTCGGGCATGCCAGGGAGCCGACGCTCCAGAGAACAGCTGGAGAGCGGGCGGTTTGGGGCCGATGTCGGGCTCCGGGGGCCCTCGCCGGGCCTCGGGAGCGTGAGCAGAAACGGCCCGGGGCGGAAGACCGGCCCGGGGGGAAGTGGTCCCGACCTCAGGGGCCCCCGCAGCGAAACAAGTGGAGCAGCCGGATGTCTGGCATGGCTGTTCTGTGCTCAGACCAGTTTGACGAGGCGCCCGTCTTCCGTATTGTGTGTCTGTCTGTCTGTCTGTCTGTCTGTCTGTCTGTCTGTCTGTCTGTCTGTCTGTCTGTCTGTCTGTCTGTCTGTCTGTCTGTCTGTCTGTCTCTCTCTCTCTCTCTCTCTCCCTGTGGCTAGTTTGAGCGGCCCTGTTTCAGCACGGTCTGGATCGCGAGGCCGTTCGGATCTGAGTCCCAGTCCCAGGAACAGTTGCCGTCACCTCAGCTCCTGGTAGCAGCAGATGCTGACAGTGGGGGTCGTGGTGGGCAGTGTCGTCGGCGGCGTCAGTGCTGGTGACTGTCAATGCTCAAGGCGTCCAGTTCTCAATGCCGCCTTGTTTCGCGGGCTTTCCCGATGCCTCCTCGATTGCGTTGTCGCTCTCTTGAATGAGTGGGCGGATGTTCTCAGTGCGGCGGCGGCGGCCACTCCGCCCTCACCATGCAATTCCGGGTTGCAGTGCCTCTTCGGTCCCTTCTCTTCCTCCTCCTCCTCCTCCTCCTCCTCCTCCTCCTCCTCCTCCTCCTCCTCCTCCTCCTCCCCCCTCGCCCTCGCCCTCCCCCTCCCCCTTCAATTCCCCAGGGATCACTCTGCCTCCCCCTGAGTAGGCGCCCTGCGCACGAAGTTTGTCATGCAAGGTCATGGCCTCGTCCGCTTCGCCCTTGAGGGGCCCGGGCGCATGCCCGCACATGCGTTCCGATCCGATGCTCCTCCTCTTCATTTGCATCCTGCCCGTCCTCACCTCCTGCTCCTCCTCCTCCTCCTGCTCCTGCTCCTCCTCCGGCTTCTCCTCTTCCTCTTCCTCCTTCTTCTCCTCCTCCTCCTCCTCCTCACCTTGGCTTGTCACCAGAGGAGTTCGGGTGCGAGCTGGGCAAGGAGGCGCTTCCTTCGACTTCTCTCGTCCGATGTCGCCGGCTGCGACCTGCTCAGCTGCTGACCGCCAGTTGGCGCCACAGCCGCCGGCGCGTGCGCAGCTTCCGCTGCCGCCGCCTGCTTCGATTCTGCCGCCGCTGCTGCAGGGGAACGGCGGGGTGGGAGGGGAGGGAAGGGCAGCGCGGAGGGGAGGGAAGGGAGAGGATGGGGAGGGGGAGTGGGAGGGGAGGGAGAGGAGGGAGGGGGGGGGGAGAGGGCAACGTGGAGGGCAGAAATGGTGAGGTAGGGAAGGCAGGAGTTAGCGGGCGGAGAGCGGTGTCTGATATCCGCGATCGGGGGCACTTGTTACGGGGCGGCCCAAAAGTTTACACGCCCACCTGCCACCGTGGGGGTCTAAATTTACCAGCCGCTCTGGAATGGGCGCCCCCGATGGCAGAAAAGTGCATGGTATACCAGTCCTGGCCCGCCAGAGAAGGGAGGCAGGAAGGTGAGGAGGCAAGAGAGCTCACCATCCCCCGCACCTGCAGGTGGGCTACTCCATCCGCTTCGAGGACGTCTCCTGCGACCAGACGATCATCAAGTACATGACCGACGGCGTGCTGCTGCGCGAGGTGCTGTTCGAGCCGGACTTGGACCGGCGCCCTCCCGGCAGATCCGGGCCCTGCAGAACCGTTCGCAGCGGTAGTGTTTCCTGAAGGCTGTTTCCTGGCACTGGGACTGGCCGCAAACATCTCAGGATTCAGCATCCGTTACCTTATCCCCAGACACGCGACGTCCTGATTTTTCAGGACGGCGTCCCTGGAAGTCCCGACCCTGTCCCCGGGACCGGCTTTTCGTCCTGAGTCGTTTCTTGACGGTCCCGGGGCCCGGCGAGGGCCCCCCGAGGCCGAAACTAGCCAGAAACCTCCCGTCCTGACTTTTTCCCGTCCTGAGGAGGAGGAGGAGAAGAAGGAGGAGAAGGAGGAGAAGGAGGGGGAGGAGGAGAAGGAGGAGAAGGAGGAGAAGGAGGGGGCCATGGTGTCGCAGTCCCGCCAGCCGCCAGCCCAGCCCCCGAGGTGGAGAGTCTCGCCGGTGAACGGGGCCTGGGGCCTGGGGCCGTGGAGGGAGGGAGGAGGAGGAGGAGGAGGAGGAGGAGGAGGAGGAGGAGAACGAGGAGAAGGAGGAGAAGGAGGAGGAGGAGAAGGAGGGGGAGGAGGAGAAGGAGGAGGAGGAGGAGGAGAAGGAGGAGAAGGAGGAGAAGGAGGAGAAGGAGGAGAAGGAGGAGGAGAAGGAGGAGAAGGAGGAGAAGGAGGAGGAGGAGGAGGAGGAAGGAGGGAGGAGGAGGAGGATGATGGTGACGGTGGTGGTGGTGGTGGTGGTGATGATGATGATGATGATGTTGATGCTGATGCTGACGCTGATGCTGATGCTGATGCTGATGCTGATGCTGATACTGATGCTGATGCTGATGCTGATGCTGATGCTGATGCTGATGCTGATGCTAATGCTGATGATGCTGATGTTAATGCTGATGATGGTGATGGTGATGGTGATGGTGATGATGATGATGATGATGATGATGATGATGATGATGATGATGATGATGATGATGACGGTGATGATGATTATGATTATGATTATGATTATGATTGTGATGATGATGGTGGGGTATGTCGGTCAGTGGGGCCAAGGCCATGCCAGTGGGGATGGGGATCGAGCGAACGCTGCTCAAGGATCAGACAGCCACCCCCTCTTGTCTTCCTTGTGTTAAGTCGGGCCTGTCCCCCTACAGGGGGATTTTCGACGAAAAATACCCCCCCCCAAGAATAATCCAAAAATAGTCTGGGGACTATTTCTTTTAGTATTTTGTTGACCTTTTTGGGGGGCATTTTGGGGGTATTTTTTATTTTTCGTCGAAAATCCCCCTGTAGGGGGACAGGCCCGACCTAATCCTTGTGCTCCAACACAGGCCACCCAGCCACAGCTCTGGAGCTCCAACGCGCGGCAGGGCAGAGCGGGCAAAGCCCACGGGCCCGCTCGCCAGATGTGCTCGTCTCGGGGGACCTCCCTGGGGCCATGGGCGGAGATCTGTTCGACTCTGCTTCGATGCTGGTTCGACTCCAGGTCGACGATTAGCCACGCGCAGAGGGGGTATTCTTTAGTTTTCGTTTTTTTTGTTGAGTCTTCTTTATTTGTCCTCCAAAATCCCCCTGTAGGGGGACACGCCCGACTTAAGGGGAGGGGGGAGGGCTTCTTAGAAGCACCCCTGCTTCTTAGAAGGCGCGGGCCTTGTCTATAGACGTAAGGCCGGCTACTCCTAGGAAGCAGCCTCCTTCTAAGGAGCCCTCCCCCTCCCCTCCACCCCCATGTGCGCACCGCCAACTCTAGGTCGACGCTAGTTCGGCTCTGGCTCGACTCAGGTGCGACTCGAGTTCGATTGAAGTCGAGGGACGTTCGACCCAGCATCGACGCATGAGTGCAGCGAGTGGCTCTAGGAAGGTCCCTGGAACGAGCGCCCAACGATGGATCCAAGTCGACATCGGTTCTGGCCGGCCCAACCCGACTCGATTCGGATATTCCGATGAGCCGATGTGGCACGATGCTTGCATTTTGGCATTGCGCACCTAGGCAGGACTGAGCTAATCGTTGCCCGCTGGTGCTCGAGCCGTTTCCTGTCCGTGTTGTGTGTTGTGTGGCTGGTTGTGCAGGTTTTTGCCGGATGATTGGCGGCATGCTTGCGTTTCTTCTTGCTTCCCCATTCCCGCCCTGCATGTTCAAAGGCGCACTAGTCTCGCGTTTGTGCAGTGTACATGCAAAAGTGATATGAGCACGTGTGCAGTAATGATCGTCGTAGCGTTTATGTCCCATGGTTCCTGCATCGTTGTGTTTCCCGTTCGCTTGCTCTGATGGAAGTTGCAAGCACCTCGCTTTGTTGGCGATCTCGAGTCCGTGCCGATGCGGCCCGATCCGACGCACATCCCGATGCGACCCTACTTCTCGACCCGCTGCTGACTGATCTTGCCTCCTCCTCCTCCTGCCCTCGAAGACGGAGACAGCGGCACAAACATATCTTTGGGACGGAACGCGCGGATTTCTGGGACCTGCGCTGGACCCCCGCGCAGATCCAAGAAGTCCGCGCGGGCCGTCAAAGGTATCATCGGTCAAGGTCCTTTAGCGCTCTTGTCCTCCCGCGTTCGGTCGTTTCTGCGCCTCGGGCTCGTCGTCGCTCTTCCCCCTCGCTCCCTCGTTTTCCTCCTCCTCTCCCTCGCTCCCTCGTCGCCCTCACCAGACCCAAGGGTGGGGCCGACTCCAGTTTTGCTGTGGCGGGACGACCAAAAGTCTTGTGGCGCTCGCATTATGATGTTCCAATCGACTTTCGCCTTGATCACCAGAAAGAGTTTCCCGGCACCAAGAGATTCCGAAACTGGAGGGTTTACACGTGTCGGGCCCTGGGGGGCGATGCTCGCTCAACACTGTTTCGACACTTCCCTCTGGGCGCTCGACATTATTTCTGGGATGTGGCCCTCGAGTGCGATGGCAGCAGCAGAGCGCTCGTGGCGCGCTTCGAGAGAGGCCCCCCGGGGCGCCCGCGTCGGCAGGCCTCCGCTCGCCCTCCCGCCGAACCCCTCCGCTGCGGGCAGCTCCCTCGCCGCCGCCGCCGCCGCCGCCGCGGCGCCTGGCGCCCCCAGACGGCTGCGGCCGCAGACTGCGCAGGGCGAAGCGATGCTCGACGCGCGGCGATCGTGATCGTTTCTTGTGCGTTGCGCTGCCCATCGGCGCGGGCCCTCGCACCCCCCCTCCCGCCCCCCCCTGGAGTCGAGCTTGGCCGTTTGTGGCGCCGCCTGCTTCAAGCAGGTGGGGTCTCCCCGATAGCGCATGAACCGCTGTAAGCAGTCGCACGCGAAGCAGAGGTCCGGAGCCAGACGCCCCTCCCCCTCCCGCCCGCTTCCGCCCAAGGTCGAAACGCCGAATGAGAAAACGTCCACCAATAGCCTGGAGACGATGTTGTCATTAGCTTTGAATTGTTTGAGCACTCTTGGATTATCTTTTGGGCGCCAGGCCCCTCCCCTCCCCCCTTTGGCTCAATGTCCACATGCCGAAGACGAAAACGCTCACGCTCCTGGCGCTGCCATTTTTTTTTCCGCCACGGGCTTTTTCGCCGGGAGCGTCGGGCCCGGGCAGACCGCTCCGGCTCGGAGGAGGACGCAGGAAGCGGGGGTCCCGGGCTCCAGTCGTGCCTCTTGCTGAGGAGGTGCACTTTTTGCAGCCGCGCGCGGAGGGGGGTGGGGTGGGAGGGGGGAGGGCTTCGCAGGAGGCCGTTTCTTTATTGCTTGTGGCATGACGGGCGTCATGGCCCCCGCTCCCCCCCCCTATGACGTAACGCTCCCCCCCTCCAGTGTGCTCCGGGACGCAGGAAGCGGGGGTCCCGGGCTACAGTCGTGCCTTTTGCTGCGGAGGTGCACTTCTTCCAGCCGCGCGCAGAGGGGGGCTGGGGCGAGGGGCGAGGGTTCTGATGCTCCAACATACTTTAGCCTGGACCACCAGGAAAGAATTTCGAGCACCCGAAAACAAGTACCGAAACTGCAGGGTTTTCGCGTTTCGGGCCCTGGGAGACACTCGTTCGACACTGCTTCGACACTGGTGCTCGAAATCAGTTCTGGGATGTGGACCTTAAGTACGATGGGAACAACAGAATGCGAGGTTGCATGTTGTCCAGCCGCGCGCAGAGGGGCGTGGGGGGAGGGGGGAGGGCTTCGTAGAAGCGCCCCTGCCTCTCAGAAGGCGCGGGCCTGTTCTGTAGACGTCAGGCCGGGGCCTCCTAAGAAGCAGCCTCCTTCTAAGAAGCCCTCCCCCCTCCCTCCACCCCCTCGCGCGCACCGCCACTTTTTTGTTCGAAACGTCGGAGCACGTGGCGCCGCGCCGTCTGCTCCGACGCGCGGCCTTACGGTCATGGGGAGGGCGCCTCGGCCAGCAGGGCATGCTCCGCCTCGGACGATTACGGCGTTTGCCGCGGGATTGCCGCGGTGCCGCCGTCGTCTACCTGGGGCGCGGCACGCAAGGTTTTCCGTGGGTCTGTCGTGGTGTCGTCGGCGTCCAATTGGGCGCGTCGAGAACAGGCGGAGTGGCGACGCATTGCCATGCTGATGCAAGCGAGGACACGAGCGGACAGATCGTGCCCCACCCCTCAACCTCTCTCGCGGCATGTGAGACGGATCAGACCTTCCCGCCGCCCTGTTTTCGCAACGTCCAGGCCTCCCAGATGGGTTCGAAGCAGATGGGTCGAGGATCGCGCCGCACCGCCGATGCATCGGCGATGCGGCTCGATGTGGAGCTCGAGGTGGAGCTCGAGGTTCTCCAGGCCGACGTCGCCAAGGCATCGCCGACGCGTCGCCGAGGCATCGAGCGAGGCCTCGCGCGAGGCCTCGGAGGCAGTCCGGGGGGGCCGCGCCCGCTCGCAGGGTTCCGCCGCACCGCGGAATCGGATGGCCGCAGTTGCCCCGGAGTCGTGCGTGTGCCTCCACAGGAGGAGTATTCAGAAATAATCAAAACATAGTTTGGGAAACATGTCTCGATTATGTTTGATCTTTTTTAAACAAGGAACGAAGAACGACAATATTTTATTTTTTTCGTCCAAAAGCCACCTTAGGAGGACATGCCCGACCTAAAGTTACCGCTGAACAGTTTACAGTCAGCCCGCACAGTAGGCATAGACCACAATCCCAGGGATACCCTTGCATCCTTGCCTCCCTGGTCCATCCTCGACCACTTTCGTTGGCCGCGCCCCGCTCGCGAGAAGCTTCGATATGGGCGTCCAAGGCCCTTGCATCCTCATCGCGCATCCTTAAGATGCGGGCCGACTTTACTCTTTCTGATGTAAAAGCAATCTCCAGGTACTGCGCCGTCATCATGGACGAGGTCGGCCACGCGCAGAAAAATTGGGGGCATGGGCGGGAGCTTAGTGGGTCCCGGAAACGGCAGGGCCGTTGTTTCACCTTTTCCCCAAAAAATGCCCCTTGAAAATGGAAACGGCAAAAAAACGGCGACCGGAAACGGCAACAAAAACGGCTCCAGGATTGGAACCGGAGCCGGAACCGGTCAAAAAACGGCGACGGAACTTGTAACAAAAAACGGCGTCGGAACCGGCAAAAAACGGCAAAACGGAACCGGTGAAAAAATGGCCTTGTCGTTTCCAGGGCCCACTAAGGGCATGGGGGGGAGAGAGGGGGAAGGCTCCTCAGGAGGAGGCTGCCTTTCAGGAGGCGCGCGCGCCTCGTCCACAGATGCAGGGCGGGCGCCCTCCGAGAAGCGGCCGCCTTCTCCTCCTCCTCCTCCTCCTCCTCCTCCTCCTCCTCCTCCTCCTCCTCCTTCCTCCTCCTCCTCCTCCTCCCCCTCCTCCTCCTCCTCCTCCTCCTCCTCCTCCTCCTCCCTCCTCCTCCTCCTCCTCCTCCTCCTCCTCCTCCTCCTCCCTGCTCCTCCTCCATTTCTTCCCCCTCCTCCTCCCTGCTCCTCCCTGCTCCTCCCTGCTCCTCCTCCTCCTCCTCCTCCTCCTCCTCCTCTTCCGCCGAGGCGCCTCCCCCCCCTCCTCCCCCTGCCATCCCCCTTGTGCGCGCCGCCAGACGAGGCCCACGAGCGCTCCCTCAACACGGACGTGCTCTTCGGCATCCTCCGCCAGGCACCACCACCCCCGCGGCCCCGGGGCAGCGCTCGGGGGGGCTGCGGCGGGCCTGCTGTGCGAGCGGAAAAGGGGCAGGGAGAAGGGGGGGCGAAGGGGAGGAGAGGGGGGAAGGGGACGAGGGGGGGGGGGGAGGACGAGGACCGGGGGGAGGGGGACGAGGAAGGGGGGGGAGGGGGAGCGAGGGGGAGGGAGGGGGGGATGGAGGGACGAGGGGGGGGGGAGGACGAAGCGGGAAAAGGGGACGAGGGGGGTGGAGGACGAGGAGAAGGGGGGATGAGCGGGGGACGCGGGGGGGGAGGGGGGATTGGAAGGAGGGGGCGAGGAGGGGGGCGAGGGGCAGGGGAGAATGCCAGAGGAGGAACAGGCGCCGACACCGCCATCCTTGCCTGGTCCTCGCCAGTTTGGAGCTCCTGGGAGGCCCTCGTCGTCCCGGGAGAGGTCCAGGGAGTCTGGCAGTGGCGCTATCTTCTGCTCGACCCAGAACGAGCAAGGGGAAGGCGCAGGCCCCCTGATAGAACCCTTGGCTGCTCCCCCCCTTGGAGCGCTGGTACCAGCGCCCCGCCCGAGACATCCCCACAATCTGCTCTGAACGCAGACGGGCTTGGGGTCCGAGACAGGCCAGCCGGTTCCGACATCCCCACAACTTGGGCGCGAACGCGCCCCTGATATACCCTCTGGCGGCTCCCCCCCCCTGGCGCGCTGGAACCAGCGCCCCGCCTGAGACATCCTCGGAATCTGCTCTGGAAGCAGAGAGTGTTGGGCATCCAAGCAGGCAAGCTGTTTGAGACATCCCAGAGATCTGGGCGCGAATCCTGGAGCGCTCCCACCATGGCGGTTCCCCTCGGCGATTGCTGGAACCAACGCCTTGCTTCACACATGCTCCCAAACTGCTCCGGAAACAGAATATGTTGGGCACCCGCACGGGCAAACCGCCTGAGACATCCCCACAGTTTGGGCTCGAAGCCAGGAGTGCCCCCACCCTGGCGGCTCCCCTCCTGCGCGTGCTGACGCCAGCGCCTCGCCTGAGACGTCGTCACAAGCTGCTCTGGAAGCAGAGGATGCTGGGCACCCAAGCAGGCGGACCGCCTGAGACGTCCCCACAACTTGGGCGCGAAGCCAGGAGTGCCCCCACCATGGCGGCTCCCCTTCTGCGCGTGCTGACGCCAGCGCCTCGCCTGAGACGTCGTCACAAGCTGCTCTGGAAGCAGAGGATGCTGGGCACCCAAGCAGGCGGACCGCCTGAGACGTCTCCACATCTTGGGCGCGAAGCCAGGAATGTCCCCACCCTGGCGGCACCCCTTCTGCGCGTGCTGAAGCCAGCGCCTCTTTGTGAAGACATGAAGACGTATAAGTTATGGGTCGGTTGCCGGAAGCCCTGCATCACCTAGAGTTTTGCAGCCCCCGTGTCTCTTCGTGGAGGCTCAGGATTGGGAAGAAAACAAGTAAGGTGGATGATGAGGGGGATAAGGAGGAGGAGGAGGAGGGCCGCCCGACATTCGTAGAAAGTGGGCAGCATTGATGCTTGCCTTTGTCAGATCAGAATGCGGAGAGGGAGGAGGAGGAGGAGGAGGAGGAGGAGGAGGAGGAGGAGGAGGGAGGAGCAGGAGAGGAGGAGGAGGACAAAAAGGAGGAGGAGGAGGAGGAGGAGGACGAGGAAGGGGAGGAGGAGGAGGAGGAGGAGGAGGAGGAGCAGGAGGAGGAGGAGGAGGAGGAGCAGGGAGAAGGAGCAGGAGGAGGACCAGGAGGAGGAGCAGGAGGAGGAGCAGGAGGAGGAGGAGGAGGAGGAGGAGGAGCAGGCTGGGGCGGACGGTGAGGAGGACGGGTAAGAGGGTGGTGATGAGGAGGAGGAGGGGGAGGAGTGGAGGGAGGAGGGAGGAGGAGGGAGGGCGGGGGGGCGGGGCGGGGGGGGGGGGAACAGGGCCTCAGAGGCCGCGAGGGCCGCACATGCCACGCGCAGGTGGTGGCGCGCCGCAACGACTTCCGGCTCATCATCACGTCGGCCCCGCGGGGGGGGTCCACGCGCAGCGCCGCTCCCCTCTTCTCCTCCCTGGCAGGGACCCCTCCCCGCTGCCAGGGGGCCCCCGCCTGGCGCGGCGACCACGCCGCGCGGTGAGTCCGTGGTGCTTCGGGGCGGCCGCCTGGTTTCGGGCCTGGGGCCGTCCTCCGCGGGAGGCCTCGGGCGACGGGGGCCTCCAGGGCCCCTGCCCGCGCAGCAACGGACAGCCGGTGGGGTCTCCGAGCGTGCCGAGTTCACCGCGCGGCCTGTCACCGCACCGCCGAAGGGACCCTGAAGCCTCTGCTTCGAGTCCTCCCCCTCCCGGGCGCGGCGAACATTCATCCTGGCGAAGGGCCCAGCCACATGCAGTCGTGAATGCCGCGTTGGGCTCCCCACGGGGCCACGAAGCGCGCGACGGGGTGGCCTGTGCTGGCCATCAGAGGCGCATGCGGCCGCGGCCACCAGCGTCTTCGCTGGAGCTCCTGCGGGAGCCACGAAGAGTGGCACTGGCTGTGGGGGAAGCGTGCGGCTGCGGCCACTGGGGCGTTCGGAGGAGCTCCCCTCGGGCGATCGCAGACATGGATCACGGGGGCGTGGCTTGGCGACGGGCCCCGCTCCCATGGGAAATCGCGGACTTCAGCCGCCCAGCGAGGCGGCACCGGCCGCCTTTTGGGGAGGGCACCTCCCCCGATCCATGGACTTGGCGACCGCGCGCCTAATCCATGGATCGCTAATCCATGTTTGCGCGCCCCCGATCCCCGTGGGGCCACGTAGCGTTGGACTGGGCGGGGGGGACGAATTCGAACGCTCCGTAGCGAAAAGGCGCATGTCTGGGCCCTCTGTTCTTCATACAGAACCTGTATTCTGCGACCGGCGTGAAGCTGGCTCCGCTCGCTCTCCTGCTGCTTGCTTTGCTCCCGCGTGCCTCGTCGATGCATGTCCATGCTCTGCGCTGCATCTTCGAGGGGCATTTCCCGTCCTGTCACTGGCAGACTTTTCTTGTACGCCGACGTGGATTCTACACGGATGCGGCGCGCTCGACATGTATTCGACACGGATGCGACACGGATGCGGTGCGGATGCGATGGAACAGGCGAGGTCCGCTCGCTCGCTCGCTCCTCGAGCGCTCTCGTTGGGCGTGTTCGCTGGCGGCGCGGCTTCTGTGAGCTGCCAGCTCGGGGTGTCCCTGGGGTCCTCCCGTCCCACGCCGCCCCGCTCCCATCCCTCGCTCCCGCCTTCCGCCCTTTCCCCCCCCCCTCCCCCCCTAACCCCCCTCTATCCTCCCCTCCTTCCCCCTCCCGTCCCCCCTTCCCCGTCCGCCCCTCCCTCCATTCCCCCTCCCCCTCTTTCCCCCTCCCCTCCCCCTTCCCCCGTGCCCACCCTCCCTCCCCTATCCGCCCACCTCCCCTCCGACCACCTCCCCCCTCCGCCTCCCCTCCCACTCGCGGGCCGTGCCTGCCCTCCCTGCCCGCCTCGTCAACCTCGTCCGCACCTCCCCCCCCCCCCCCCGAAGGGCGGCTCCGGGTGGCCACGGAAGGCGGCTCCAGGCGGCCACGGGGCCCCCCCCCAAGGCCGCCCCGAGGAGGCCAGACTCGTGCCAAAGGCTACGTGGGCCCAGGGGAACACGTGTGCTTTCCTTTTGTCTCGCACTCCAGCTTCCGATCGGCTCTTGAGGCCTCGAGATGGCCCCAAGACGGCCCCAGAGATACCCCCCGTTCCTCGTTTCCTCCGGCAGGGGGCCAAAAAGTAGACCTCCTTCGTCAACGACCCCGCGTTCGGCCCCCCCCCCACCCCCCCGCTCCCCCAAATTTCAAAGTTGGCTTCTGCCTCACGGAGGCCCTGGGGGTTCCATTTGTTTATCCTCTCACGCCTGTGCTGCCGAATGCTTGGGGCCAACTTTGAAATTGGTGGGAGGGGGGGCGCTCGGTGTCAAATATTCAACTTTCTTGTCCATCTACGGTCCCTCCCGTTCCTTCCCTGACGGTCGACGGATGGGGGGGTGAGGCCACGATGGATTCCGACAAGTTTGCGGCCTTCTTCGGCAACGTGCCCGTATTCACGATACCCGGCGGGGCGGGACGCTGGAGGCGGACGTGTCGAGGACGAGGGCGAGGGCGAGGAGGAAAACGAGGGGGGGGATCCAGGATGGCGAGGGGGGGGTGCGAGAGCGAGGACGGAGGACGGGCACGAGGGCGAGGATGCGGAGCACGGAAGGGTGGAGGAGACGTAGGAGGAGGAGGAGGAGGAGGAGGAGGAGGAGGAGGAGGAGGGAGGAGGAGGAGGAGGAGGAGGAGGAGGAGGAGGAGGAGGAGGAGAGGACGAGGAGGAGGAGGAGGAGGAGGAGGAGGAGGAAAGGGATGAAAGGGAGGGAGGAGGGAGGGAGGGAGCGGGAGAAGGAGGAGGAGGAGGAGGAGGAGGAGGAGGAGGAGGAGAGGAGGAGGACGAGGAGGAGAAGAGGGACACTGGCCGCATCGTGAGAGCTCCAGCGCCAATCGCAGGCACGGGTAGCGTGCACCACGGACTGGCGCATTTAGAACGTTGAAGGAGACAAAAGGAGGGGCAGGAGGATGATGATGAGGAGGAGGAGGAGGAGGAGGAGGAGAGGAGGAGGAGGAGGAGGAGGAGGCAGGAGGAGGAGAGGAGGAGGAGGAGGAGGAGGAGGAGGAGGAGGAGGGGAGGAAGGAGGAGAGGAGGAGGAGGAGGATAGGGGAGGAGGAAGGGAGGAGGACGAGGAGGAGGAGGGGGAGGAGGAGGAGCACGGAGGAGGAGGAGGAGGAGGAGGAGGAGGAGGAGGAGGAGGAGGAGGAGGAGGAGGGGGAGGAGGAGGAGGGAGGGAGGGAGGGAGGGAGCGGGAACAGGAGGAGGAGGAGGATGAAAAGAGGCCGGGGGATTGTGGAGTCCCTGTGTGTTCTAGACGATGTTTTCCGATCTTCCACGTTGTTCTTCATCATTTCCATTCTCTTTCCGTTTTTCGTTTTTCTCTCTCGCCCTCTCGATCGCTCTCTCTCTCTCTCTTTCTCTCCTGTTCGTTATTTCACAGTCACGTTGATTGGTATACATTCCTTTTCCATGATGTATCGCGCTGTTATGCTGTCACACCTGCAAACCAATGCCCCCCCGAGCACGGTCCTCGACATTCTAGCCCTGTGCCAAGCGGCATGGGGTTGGAACTTCGAGGGCCATGCTCGGGGGGGCATGTTTTTTTGCTCTCCCGATCTTCTGAGGTTTTTTCCTTTTGTCAGCGTTCTCTTATGTTTCTCTTCTCTTTCGGCCCTTCTCGTCTGAACTTTCCATGCCCCCCCGAGCATGGCCCTCGAAACTCTGGCCCTGTGCCAAGCGGCATGGGGGTGAAATTTCGAGGACCATGCTCGGAAGGGGGGGGGGATTTTTTGGGGGCTCTTCCGATTGTCTGAAGTTTGTTTTCCTTTGTCAGCGTTCTCTGATGTTTCTCTTCTCTTTCAGCCCTTCTCGTCCGAACTATCCCTTTCTGCTCGTGTCTGTCTCCCTCTTTGTATGTTCTCTTTCGCTGCTGTTTGTTGTCCTCTTTTTAAACGATATCTCTTCATCTTTCTCTCTCTCTCTCTCTGTCTCTCTCCCTCTCTATCTTACCTGTGAGGAGGATGAGTGTGATGAGGAGCATAGAGGAGGACGCATGTTTTAGATGAGGACGGGGGAAGGAGGAGGAGGGGGAGGGAAGTAGGTGCAGGGCGGTGCGGTAGCGCCACGCCCGATTGCTTCGCATCGAGATCCACCGGGCAAGAGATGTGGTTTCGGTATGTTTCCCTCTCTTGGCTGCGAGGGCATATATTATCGCTATGTTTGCAGAAGCTGGCGGGAACTGCCATGAGGAGAAGCAGGAGGAGGATGATGAGGAGGGATGAGCAGTTTGGCCAGGAAGTTGCGGGAAAGAATAAATCACGCTCGGACGGCGTGAGCGTGAAGACCAGTGGGACGCATCGGGATCCATGTGCCAAGGTATCTTCAGAGAGTTCCAGGAGGGGGTGAAGAAGGACGAGAGAAGGGACATGAGGATGATTTGGTGTCGGATGTTTTGCATTGTAAGCGCATTGCGTCGCATTGCATTTGCACTGCATGTACATTGCGTTCTCATTGCGTTGAAGGGCATTCGCATTGTATTTGCATCTTGGTCTGATTGCATTGCAACCGCATTGGCTTGCCATTCGATTTCAATAGCAAATGTTATAAGAACCCTCCTTCGGGGGATTTCAATCGGGAGCCTTATATGGAGGGCTTCGCATGGAACCCTTCTGTTCAGGATTTCAAATTGAATCCTTCTTGGGGGTACTCAATAGGCATCCTTTTTTGTGGGGGCGTTCAGTAGGAATCCTTATGTGAAGTGTTCGAGTAGGACTCGCCAGCGCAATGTAATCGCAATGCCAACGCACTGATAACGCACTGCCACCGCAAAGCCAGCGCAACGCCATTGCGATGCCAAACCAATGCCAATGCAATGCCGATGGCGGGATTCCGGTCTTCGAACAAATTTCGCCAGGAATCCTTATGTGGATGATTTGGTTACGAACCCTTCTTCGGAGGATTTCGGTAGTAATCCTCCCGTGGAGGGTTTCGATTGGAATCTTTCTGTGGGGGGTTCATTTTGAATCCTTCATGTGGGGGCTTTCAAAAGGATCCCTTCTTGTGCAACGTTTTCATAGGAGTCCTTGTGTGGGGGGGTGGGGCATTCGAACTCGCCAAGGCAATGCCAACGCAATACCAACGCAATGCCCAACCAATGCCAAAGCGATCCCAATTCAATGCCAATGCAATGCCAGTGGGGGAAATCGTTTGTGGTCGGGTTCAAGAAGAATCCTTCTATGGAGGGCTTCGTATGGAATCCTTCCGTGAAGGAGTTCAAGCTGAGCTTTTCTTGTGAAGTGCTTCGAATGGAATCCTTTCTTTTTTCTGTGGGGGTTCAGCAGGAATCATTCTGCGAAGGGAGGTGCTGGAACTCGCCAACGCAATGCCAACGCACTGCCAACGCAATGCCACACCAATGCCGAAGCGAGTCCAACCCCATGCCAATGCACTGCCAATGGGGGAAATCATTTGTGGTAGATTTCAATAGGAATCCGTCTGTGGAGGGTTTCGCATGGAATCCTTCTGCGGAGGGTGTCAACATGAAGACTATCAATCCTTCTGCGGGTGATTTCAATAGGAATCCACATGTGGATGATCCCAGTAGGAATCATTCAGTGGAAGGTTTCGATCGGAATCCTTCTGTCGATGATCTCACTATGAATCTTTCTTTTGGGGGCGTTCAATCGGAATCCTTCTAGGGGGGGGCAGATGAGG